GGATCAGGTGGCCACATGCAAGATGTGGAGGAGGGAGAAGACTCGATAGGTATGAGGATCGAGCAATCCGAAGACCTGAAAGGTTCGGGCCCCACCACACAAAAAGCTCCTCTGCCGAAGGAGTCCACGAATAGGAGCAAGCCCATCGTCGTAGCAGTAGCAGAAGGGAAAAAGCCACTGAGAAACACGACGTATGGAGGAGATAATGCGACTCCTGGATACGACGCAGAGGATGAAACCAGATGGTGGTTGTGGGTAGACATAGGTGTCTTTAAGATCAGAGCACTCTTTGATACCGGCGCCTCATCTTCGGTAATGGGTCAGTTAGGGCTGAGATTGGTATCGGATATGGGACTCGGACTTAATGTGACCAGGGCGGGCGATGCAAGGTTCTCCGACGGGCGCCAATGTCCCATCATTGGTCACGTGATGTTCCCATTTAAAGTAGGAGGAATCACGAAGGAAATCAGAGTCGTTATTACGCCACTGCTCACAGATGACTACTAGGTAGGCGCGAACTTTATATGAGAGTTCCGCGCAGTTTTGGATCCCATTGAGGATGAATTATGGCTGAAGGACGCCTAGGTAAAAGTACCTATAGAAGTGGCGGGAATTGATGGTACGGCATTTCTCACACCGGGAGATCACGAAAACACAGCTTGAGGAAATTGAGGACCTCGTCAGAAGATTGATTCCAGACGGAGGAGTGGTTTCAGACTGTGCCGTGGGGGTTGAGCACGAAATAGATGTTGGAAGTGCTCGACTCATCAAGCAGAAGTACTATCCAGTGTCTGACAGGGTACGAGAGGAAATGCACGCGCTGGTCAAGGATATGTTGGAAAAAGATGTTATCGAACCAGCGACTAGCGGGTGGTCAAGTCCAGTGGTGATGGTAAAGAAGGCTGATGGAAAATATAAGTTCTGCGTAAATTACCAAAAGGTAAACGCAATAATCAAACCAGATGCCTATCCTTTGCCATATATGAGCGACATCCTTAGACGGATAAGGGATGCCAAGTTCATATCCACGCTGAACTTAAGTAGCGCGTACCATCAGATTCCCCTAAAGGAAGAATCGCGCCTGATATCGGCGTTCACAGTAGCTGGGTTGGGGTATTTTCAATTCAAGAGAATGCCCTTTGGACTGTCATACGCGGAAGCGACCTTCCAGAGGTTAATATATAAGATGATAGGCCCCTGATATGGATCCATTCGCTTTTGCCTACCTCGACGACGTAATTGTGGTTTCGTCGTCATTTGAGGAGCATAAGTGACACCTGGAAAAAGTATTAAAGGGAATTCTTGGTGCGGGCCTAACCATCAACAAAGTCAAAAGCCACTTCTGTAAGACGGAAGTAAGGTACTTGGGAGTTCTCGTGAACCAAGACGGAGTAAGACCAGATTTTATTTTTAATAGTTAGGCTTATTTTTAATAATCAATGGATATTGATTTGATTAACTAATCAATAAGAATTTAACTATCTACTATAGATTCTTATAAATAGAGTAGGTAAGGAAAACGCATCTCGCTGGAAATTTAGAAATTTTACTACATTTTATGAGGCTTTTTGCATGAGCATAGCCAGCTCATCCGACAATTGATTGAAAGTTTTGTCTAATCCGAATAGGTGATCTAAATACATTTGAATCTAACTAATCGTCTCAAAATGTTTTCCACGCATACTTTTTAATGCATCCCCGTATAATCCTATTTTAACTAATCTTGCTAGATCCGCTTTATTTCCGGGTGGAATAACATTATAAGCTTCCCAACAACCGTTTAAAAAATCATGTAGCGGAATACCGTATCCGTCGTATTAAGGAATGAAATTAACGATATCTTTCAAATCTACATTTCTCATAAGGTTAATTATAGAATTTTGTACTGTACGGGTTACATCTTGTGGAGTTGAATGATAAATCGGTCTTGTGTTGGCAAATGATCTGCATGTTGACTTTGGTGTAAAGTATTCCGTATTGCTACTTTTCTCGTTTTGTTTTATTACTTGATCACTTTTTTCATTAAAATTTGGTATTAAAAATTTTACGTTTTTATGATTCATAACAGGAATTTCGTTTCTTGTTTTATTTATTTTGTCTTCGTTATCATTGTCAATTGTCAAGTTTGTAAAAGATTGGAAATATTCTCTTGACACGTCTTCCGTTATTTCCGCGGTTGACTCAATTATTGGTTCAAATTTATTTTCAAATTGTACTACTTTGTACGATTCGCTGCTTCTACAATTTCTTTTGGACATATATTGCGTTTTGTTAATTCTTCTACAATGAGTAGTAAAAGTGGATCTTGACATATATTCCTTATTAAATCTCCATTTATATAGTGTTCTAAAATTTTTATTAATTTTTCTAATTGTTGTTATTTTTTGCCCTCTATTTCGAAATCTAAATACTGACGAACGTGCAGAAATTTTATACATTCTAATAATGTCGGTTCTCTACTAGTTATAGAATTCGCATCTACTTTTCCTATGCAGTTTTTTAAAACTATTAGTGCTTCCTCATTTCGTTTACCTATCAAATCGATTCCCATAGCCATATTTGTAAAAAAAATTACTTTTGCCTAATCCTGCTTTTCGTTAAAAAAAAATACGAGGTGTGTTCAAAAAGTAAGGTGACTTTTCAAATTTCACGGGCAACGTACTTTCGATTATCGATTTTTTTATTTTGTTATGTTGGTACACTCTTTCCGAACATCTGTATCAAGTTTCAAGTGTATAGCATTTTTTGTTTGGTTGTGAGAGGCGTAAAGGTTATAAGTGTTTTGCATGCTCGGCGATTTCTTGCTATCGAAAAATATGGATCAAAGTATTTGCATCAAATTTTGTGTAAAAAATAAAATAAAGTGCTCCGAAACACTTGAAATGTTGACGGTGGCATACGGTGAAACTGTTCTGAGTAAAAAAAATGTTTACAAGTGGTACAAACTCTTCCAAGATGGCCGGGAAGATGCCAATGACGAGCCTCGCTCTGGACGCCTAAGCACGTCGACAACTGATGAAAACGTTCAAGCAGTGAAGAATATTGTTCTGGAAAATCGTTGAATCACTATCAGAGAAGTTGCTGAGGATGTTGGTATATCGCTTGGCTCGTGTCATGAAATTTTTTCTAACGTTTTGGGCATGAGACGTGTGTCAGCGAAGTTTGTTCCGAAATTGCTAAATTTTGACCAAAAGAACCGTCGCATGAGCATCGCTCAAGAACTGTTGAATGACGTCAACGACGACCCAGATTTACTCAAAAGGGTCATAACTGGTAACGAATCATGGGTATATGGTTATGATATCGAAACCAAAGTCCAATCGTCCCAATGGAAGAGCCCAGATGAGCCAAGACCGAAAAAAGTACGCCAAGTTCGATCAAATGTCAAAGTTTTGCTCACTGTTTTCTTCGATTAACATGACGTGGTGTATTAAGAGTTCTTACCATATGGACGTACGGTCAATAAACAGTATTATCTTGAAGTTATGCGCCGTTTGCGAGAAGCAATACGAAGAAAAAGCCCAGAATTGTGGAAAAACAATTTTGCATCACGATAATGCCCTTGCTCACTCATCTTTGCTTGTGAGAGATTTTTTGGCCAAAAACAACACCACAATCATGCCTCAGCCACGATATTCACCGGATTTGGCCCCATGTGACTTTTTCTTGTTCCCAAAACTAAAGAGACCTATAAAAGGACGGAGATTTGCAACGATTGAAGATGCATCGCTGGAAGAGCTCAAGGCTATACCGAAAAGTGCTTATGAGAAGTGCTTTGAGGATTGGAAAGACCGTTGGCATAAGTGTATTGTATCTGAGGGGGATTACTTTGAAGGGGACAACATAAATATTGATAAATAAATAAATATTTTTTCTTAAAAATACAAAGTCACCTTACTTTTTGAACACACCTCGTATACCCGGAGGGGTTCCCAATTGTTACGTCTCACGCAATGGTCACGAATTGACAATAATTACTCAACCGCGACTGTCTCTTTTCGTTCAACGCGTAAGCGCTTTACAACGGATACGAGACTAAAACTAGAGCAGACTGGCAATCTAACTAAAACACCGATCAGAAAAGTAACAATTAAATAATATTACGTGTAATTTGGCTAGTCCTGAAACTCGTACATCCAAAGCCAGGGATGTATCGTAGTTATATGGAGTAGGTATAAGCCTTTGCCAATTGATAATAAATTATCAGTAGAAATGGAGTTTAAGTACTTATTACTCCAAATAAGTTATACAGAACATCCGAAGACTTATAGAGTCGAATACAGAGTAGTCTTGATTATCGCTTTGCCACCTCTTTTATAGGACAAAACACATAAAAATTAAGCTATAAAGGGTTAAACCCAGAAGGGAAATGTTCGTCACTGAGAATGAAGTCAGATATGAATTGGCTCTACTCTAATTAAAGGAATTCCCCTTTTATAATAATTCAAATTTTGCCGCTATTATATAGCCTGACTTGTTCTCGACGTTACACATGATTTATGGAAAACTTTTTTCCGTAAAAAAATGAATAATTTTGATTGGTTAAAAACTGCCATATATTTCGACTTACATGATTTATTTTTTGTTTAATGAAAGCACATGTGAAAAATTATTTTTATATGTAATATGTACCAAAAGATACATATTATAAAAGTGTTTTTAACTTTAAAACAATTTTTTTATGACGAGTTACAGTACGAATTCTTAATAACTTTTCATCTTATAGCTTCGAAATTATAGTGGATATCTTAAATTAATCTCATGAAGTATATTTTTTATTTTTTTTCCTATCGGAAATATTTATCAGATTTATATTACCACATTTTGTAGAACGGTTATCACGAAGTAACTCGAATTTTTGGGGATTTGCTCATAAATGTAAGCCATAAAACCGTAAAAATTTTGTCAATAATAGAATATCATTTCATGAAAAATAAACAATTATGACAAATAGTCATTTTAGAATAATATTTTGATACTTATCAAAGATAAAAACTTACTTAAGCGTGGTCTGCGAAACTTGATCGGACAATAATGCTAAATCAACAGTATCAATTATTCCACAATTGTCTAAGTGACTTTCACTTGTGTAAACTTGTTTAGATTGTAAAGTGGATGTGACTGAAAATGATAATATTTTAATGAAATTAATAAAGTCAATCAAAATTTTACTTATCTTTACAACATAATTGATTTTTTCTGAGAAAATCTTTGTTTAAAAGGACAAGATAGGGTTTGAAAATTAAAATATTCTTAATGGTTGTGGAAAATATAAAGAGTTAAATGATCCTGGTGAAATAGTCTACATCAAACTTTTTTCATCTTTCAATACTCAATGAAAACAGAATCCAGATCTTATGATTTCAAGATGTAAGTTTTATCAACTTCAACTAAAAGAGGTTTTTATTAAACTATTAAATAATTCATATTTATATATAAATCACGTAAATTTTGATCTCTTAGCGACAGATTTGAATAACGTTTTGAACAGAAGTAAATCTGAATTTTCAATTTTTAAATAAAAGTTGTTATGTATGACTCTTACCCTTTCTTCTTCTCACACCTTTCGAGAAAAGTATACTTGCTTGACGAATAGCCGTTCTGGCAATGCTATCTTTGTATAGAAGTTACTTAAGGATTTAACGCTAATTTTTTTATATAAATAAAAATAATTAATTTGTATAAAATAAATAATATTATTGCTAGAAAATGTTTATCTATAGATATATTTAACGTGCGAGTAATCTTTTCATCTAGTGTAAAATGATTTTCTCATTGATTTCATACTTTCAATTAACTCGTGAATTCAATCTTATATTTTTTATTAATAACATGCAAAGTGACAGTTAAATATTCAAGAAAATCGATATTAATAGAGACTTTAATTTTAATAAAAAAATAAAGTAATTTCTTAAGTCAACTTATTCATTCAATCAAACTACTTACTTATATTTGAAAAAGCTAATTAGATTTTAGATAAAGTAGTCATTAAACAGGCAATAAAAATTAACTAATGAATGTTATAAAATCAATAGTAAACTAACAAGTACAGGGAGCTGGTACTCCATTGTTCATTAATTGGTACATTGAGTAAAATTCATTTGATTTTCACTATTTATCAAACTTTTTACTCATATCGAAAGAGCTAATGAGATTTTAGAAAAAGTAGTCGTTAAACTCGATAATAATTAACTAGTGAATGTTATGAAATAAACAATTAAATGGTGTGTACTGTAACGGGATTAATACCGTTTATTTATTTTAATGCGCGCGATCGTATCGAAGAGCGCCCGTGATTACCTACACGTTCAAACACGAAAACCGGAGAGCAGGAGGGAACGGGTGTCTGTCAACCAACTATCTACTAATGCGAAATAAATACGTCGGAAATATCATTAGTATCACAAGAGAGAACTTTTATTACCTCTTAATATTACACTTCATTCGGCCCGCGTGTTTATGTTTATATGCCGCGCGCACGACGACAACCTGCAGTGTCGGATCGCTCGCCGCTCAGAGTTCGCAGAGTTATTACATGCACGCTTTTTGTCGAGTACGAGAGATTAGTTATAGACAATTCTATCGCGATCGCGAAATTAAGCTGGCCAGCTTACCTTATTAACTCTCGCACGGGTAACAAAACTAATGAGATGAAGGAGGCTCGTACAGCACACGCTAGTCTTTCGGCAAAATGTTTATGTGTGGGCGATGATACCTCTCGTTCACGGTTTCACCCTCGATGGCGAAACTCTCTACTCACTCACACTTGCACGTACACTGCTGGACGTAAGGCTATCTCACAGCTTCTCTCTCTCATCTCTGCCTTCAGAAAACTCCGGAAAACGTCAAAGGTATTTTCGCTATCTGGCTCTGCGATCGGATTCTAATCCTCGACTGGTTCGTTTTCGTACGCGCGCGTTCCGTTACGTCTCATGCCGAATTCCTCTATACATTTCGCCCCAACCGGCAGGTGCTGCCCTCGCCGGCAGCCGCATGGTTGGGATGTTAGCGCTAATACGACGTTTACCGTCACAGTACATAGATTAGTATATATTTTATGAACTACCTCTCTTGAATAATATTTACATTTTACTTGTCGGAGCCGACGTTAAGAAAATCAATAACGTAACTACATCTTCTAATTTTTCACTTAGGTATTTCATCTCGGTGAAGACAAAGTACGGAGAAGGAAAATGCTAGAGTGATCTCCGTGAACTAATTTATTTAAAAATTCCCAACGTTTCGGAAAAATTAATTTTCCATTTTCAAGGGCTGCAATTTTTACAAGTGTTTAAAAGGTAGTATACAAAAAATTGTTTACGAAGCGCAAGAAGTACAAAAAACATACCTAGATAAATAAATAGAACACTATTCCATCACAGTCAAATTACAGTACAGAGCAATGCTACTCTGTTTGTCACAGGCGAAATTTACAAACGTATAAAAGTTTTGCAACATTTTCCTTAAAAAGAATTGTTTATGTGTAGCGAGTAAAATTGTTCCACTTGTAGTTCGTAAAAGCAAATGTTAAAACCAAAGAAAGCCAGTCAAAACAGAGCAGCGGTGGGGAGTGATGAGTGTGTATATGTATGTGATGGACACACAAACATGACACTCACTGACAAACCGCTACATACTTTTAATAAACCTCTTGTAACTCGATTTCAAATACAACGTATCATCTATGCGGTTTAAAGTATGAGAATGTGAATAGATTTGCAACATTTCTGATATGCGAGTTTTTTCAACACTATTACGTTCAATATCTAAAACATTTACTTTATTGAAATCTATTTCGTGACCAGTTTTTTTGACATGCATATAGAGAGCGGATCTCTCTGATGTGTTTTTTACGTCATTTTTATGTTCAGATATTCGCAGTTTTAATTTTCTCTCTGTCATTCCAATATAAATACTATTGCACTGTTTGCAATTAATTTGGTAAACTAAGTTGCTTTTTTCTTTATCCTCTAAACAGTCTTTGCCTAATGTGATAATTGAGTCTAGTTTATGACAAGTTTTGTTGATAATTTGTACATTGTGTCTTTTAACGATTTTTTTCTGTTTTTCTGTGAGATTCTTTATATAAGGCAAAACTAGCTTCGGAGTATCAACTATTGATCTTTTTTTATTTTTACGAGATTGTTCAATGACATCTCTGTTTTTATAAAATTCTAGTCTTTTTTTCACTTGTAAATCGATTAATTCTTCCGGATAATTATTGTTTAATAAATAGTTTTTGATAGTAGCTAAGTTTGACTCATGGAATTTTGTATCTGATAGTAGGATAGCTTTATCGGTTAAGCAGGAAATAATTTGCATTTTTGTGGACTTTGAGTGGTGAGAAAAATAATTTAAGTATCTATCAGATGCACATGGTTTTTTATACCAGTTGATTGTTATTGAGCCATCCAATTCTCTCTCAAGTTTTAAATCCAAAAAGGAGATTGATCTATTATTTTCTCTTTCAATTGTAAATTGTAAATTTTTGTTGAAATTATTAAAAACGTTCAAAGCACTGTTTATAGTATGTTTTTCAATTATAATGAGTATGTCATCGACATATCTTTGGTATAAAAAAATCGAATTTTTTAACTTCTCTAAGGCTGTAGTTTCTAAAGCCTCCATGGTGAGTTCTGCAAGCCAAGGACTAGTGCAAAACCCCATGGGGGCACCTTTTATTTGTTTGTAAAATTTGCCATTGAACTGAAGATATGTTTCATCTAAAATTAATTTAATATCTTCTAGAAATTCAACTTTTGAGAGAGGAATGTGATTCTTAATGTAATTCCATTTTTTTGAGATGACTTGTAACATCAAGTCTTTTGGTAAATTTGAAAATAATGATACGACGTCAAAAGACACAATTTCAAAATTATCTGGAACGGTGAGATCTTTAAGTTTTTTCCTTAATTCTGTACTATTTAATATGCATGCTTTAGGTTTTAACCGACAGAGGTTCAACAAACCAGTTATCCATTTGTCAAACTGGTAAGTGGGACTGTTGACAGCTGACACAATGATCCGGACGGGGTAACTTTGTTTGTGTACCTTAATTAGAGCGTAGGCTCGTGGAATATTACTGGTGTTAACATACTTCTTAGTTACTTTAACTGGAACATGATCAAAAACATGGTGTTTCTCCCAATCAACAACTAATTTTGTCATCTTCTTTTGTAACTGTGGGAGTGGGGATTTGTGCAATTTTAAGTATGATTCGCTATCATTTAGTAAAGATTCTACTTTTTCGATGTATTCGTTACGGTCAATTATCACTGATTTGTTGCCTTTATCTGCACGTGTGACTAGTAGGTCTTTATTTTTCTTTAAGAACCATTTGGTTTTTTCTAAATTATTTTTAATTATCTTGTCTTCGAAAGTCATGTTGTTTCTTTTTGTTTTAAGAGTATGTAAAATGTCATCTCGAAGTTTTTCGTTCACGTCATTGTATTTCAGAAATAATTCTGTGTCTTTAATAAATTGAAATTTAGTTTTTTTATCCAAGTCACTGACAAAATTAAATTTTTCTCCCAAACCAATTGTTTCTTTTACGAATGAAGGTATTTCTTTACTTGTTAAACAAATGACATTGTTCTTTTGTGAAAAATCAGTATGTGTGAAATTTTTCGCTAGGTTGCGATGTGCACCGGAATTTGAGATGCGTAAATTTGAAAATTGTAATTTTTTCCGTAGTAAAACTTGCAGTTTCTTATCATGCGATAATTTTTTCTTTGTGTTGTGAAATTTTAAAAAGGAGTCTAAATAAGAGTCCAAAGCTGATTTTATCATATTATTTGTCTCAACACATACCTTTGAAAGGAGTTCAAGCACTTTTTTGCCTAAATAATTAATATGGATATTTAAATCTTTAATCTCTAAGTTTAATAATCTTCTTTTAAAAATATTGCTGAGGTGCATTGCTTTTTTTCTCCCGTAATTGCTATGTAGATTATAAATGTTGCAAATACTTTCGATTTTTGTTAGATGATTCGGTAAAATACAATAATCTCTGCATCTTACTAAAAATACATTATCACATTTTGCTTTAATTAATTTTGTTTTAGTCTTCGACAGTTCTTGTGCAATTTTTTTACTAGTTTTGCCAAAACCGTTTTCTAGTT